ACAAATGATCATTTAATACATATTCTTTCTAACTAAGTTTAATTTTTTAGCACTGATCCAACAACCATAATTTTTATTAAATTTTTAAGCTAATTATAAATTCACATGCAGTTTCAAGAAATAATACAGAGACTATCTTTTACCCAGTTTACCTCAAAGGTAACATCTTGCAAAACTGTGGTACAGAATCACAAACAAAATATTGACATTGATATAGTTAAGATATAGAACATTTTCATCACCGTAAGTGATCCCATGTTGTCCTTTATAGACACACTCCACTCATTCCCACCCCCCAATCCTGAAACCCTGGAAAACCCTAATCTATTCTGCATTTCTGTAATTTTGTAATTTCATGAATGTTATATAAGAATATCATCCAGTGCATAATGTTTTGGAATTGGTTTTTTCCAGCATAATTCTCTGAAGATTTATCCTTATAGTTCATGTATTCATTCTGCAACATGCTTAATAGTATTGATAGTTGCATGTTTATTTTGATTTTTTAACTGTCAAACTATTTCAGGGGTCTGAGAAGGGAGTTTTGTAGGCCTTTACTTTCCTTAACATGATAGAGCTATTCAAATTATCTATTAATATTTCATATTGAGTGAGTTGTGGTAGTTTGTGTTTTTTTTGAGGAACTGCTCTATTTTGTCTAAGTTGTCAAATTTATGTGTGTAGAGTTGTTTATACTGTTTATAGGGTTCTTGAGGCAAGAATACTGGAATTGCTTATATAAATTGCTTATATTAACAACTAGAGTTGCTTATAGTATCGCCTTACTAGTCTTTTGACGTCTGTAGGGTCTGTAGTGATATCTGTTTCATTTTTAATATTAGTAATTTGTGTCTTTTCTGTTTCATGTCAGTTTTGTAGAGATCAATTTTTTGTAAAACTATTTTGTCTCAGTGATTTTTCTCTATTGTTTTCATATTTTCAACTTCAGTGATTTCTGCTCTTCCTTATTCTTTCCCACTGCTTGCTTTGGGTTTATTTCGCTCTTCTTTTTCTAGGTTCTTGCAGTGGGAGCTTAAATTATGGATTGGAGACTTCTCTTTTTTAATTGTAAGCATTTAGTGTTATAATTTTCCCTCTTGGCATTATCTCTGTTCCATAAATTATGGTATGTTGTATTTTCATTTTAATTCAGTTTAATTGGTTTTCAAAGTACTTTTTAAAATCCCTTGAGATGTCCTCTTTAACCCATGAATTGATTATACCTCTATTGTTTAGACTCCAACAGTTTGGAGATTTTTCTGTTATCTATGTTATTGATATCTAGTTTGATTTCATTATGGATTTATCTTGGTATATCTTCTGCAGGAACTCAAAAAGAATAAGCATTCTGCTCTGATTTGGTGTAGTGTTCTGTACATTTCAATTAGATCCTGTTAGTTGATAAGAGTCATTGATTTTTCTGTATCCCTGCTGATTTTCTAGTGTTCCACCAACTATTTAGAGAGGGGCATTGAAGTTTCCAATTGTAATTGTGGAATTGCCTATTTCTCCTTTCAGTTCACCAGCTTTTGCTTCACATATTTTACAATTCTGCTGTTTTGTGCACACGCTTTTTAAGAGTACTATGTCTTCCTGGCGGGTTGACATTTTTGTCATAATGTAATCCCCTTCTCTGTCTCTAGCTGTCTTTGCTGGGAGGTCTACTTTATCTGATATTAACATAGTCAAAAAAAAAAAAAACATAGTCACTCCTACTTCTCTTTGATTAATGTTTGTATGGCTTATCTGTTTTAGTCTTTTACTTGCAGCCTCTCTAAATCATTACATATGAAGTCAGTTACTTGCAGATAGTAAATAGTTGAGTCATTTCTTTTAATCCACTCTGAATTCCCTGTCACTTAATTGGTGTATTTAGACCAATAATATATTTAAGTTAGGAATTTCATCTGTCATTTCGTTTTTTGTTTTCTGCTTGTTCTCTCTGGTTTCCCTTGTTTCTCTGTTTTCTTTTCCCTGCTTTCCTTTTACATGAACATATTTTAGAATTCCACTTTTATTTATCTGTGGTGTTTATAAATATGTCTCTGTATAGATTTTTAGTTTTGCTCTAGGTGTTATGTTATATAAACATAACGTATCAAAGTCTACTGATGCCTACACTTTACCAGTTCAAGGGTGTGTAAACCTACCTTCTTTTATGTCTCCTTTCTCCATTTATAATACAGTTGTCTTAAACATTTCCTCTGTATACATTTAATGGCATGGTAATTTTTGCTTCAACCGACAGACATAATTTAGAAAACTCAAAAGGAGGAGGAAAATCCTTTATTGCATTTACTCACGTTTTTGCTTTACTTGTTTTTGTTCCTTCCAGATATTCCAAGATTTCATCTTTCATCATTTAAAAACCCTCCAGACTTTCTTTCAGGATAAGTCTGTTGGGTGACTAATTCCCTTACTTTCATCTGTAAATGTCTGGATTCCCCTTCATTCCTGAAGGATATATTCTCTGGATATATAGGACTCAGGGCATACCATACTTTCCTTTCAGCATTTGAAAAATGTTCTGCCACTTACTTCTGGCCTCCAGGGTTTCTGATGAGAAATCCACTATCACTGAAACTGTTTTTCTCCTGTAGGTAACATATGGTTTCTCTCTTGCTGCTTTCAAGATTCTTTTCTTTGTCATTAGGTTTCAGAAGTTTGACTATTAAGTGACTTGGTTCATATTTCTTTGGACTTCTCCTGCTTGGAGTTTGCTCAGATTCCTGAATATGCAGGTTTAAGTTTCACTAAAATGGGGACGTTTCCAGTCATTATTTCTTCCTAAACGTTTTCAGTCACCCCTCTTCTTTTTCTTCTCCTTCCAGGACTGTGATAACACAAATGTTAGATCTTTTACTTTAGTCCCACAATTAACAGACTCCTGAGGATCTGTTAATTTTTTTTTTCTTTAATCTATTTCTCTCGGTTGCTCAGACTAGATAAATTCTACTGTTTTATCTTCAACTTCACTTCCTATCTCCTCCCTTCTACTTTTGAGCCCATCTGCCAAGCATTTTACTTTGGTTATTATATTTTTTAAATTCTTAGAATGTTTTCAGTTTCTTTACTAAGTATCTTCAATGTTTTTTACTAAGATCTTCTATTTCCTTTCTAAATCTTCTTGTTTTTAAAAAATTTTTTCAGGTGTGTTCATAATTATCACTGAAGCAGTTTTAAGGATGATGGCTTTAAAATCACTGTCAGATAATTCTAACAATTCTGTCATCTAAATGATAGCATCTATTGATTACCTTCTTATATTCAGTTTGAGACTTTCCTAGTTCTTGGGGTGGATTAGTAATTTTCAATTGAAATTTGGATACTTTGCTATGAGATTCTGGATCTTATTTAAACCTTCTGTTCCAGTTGACACTCTGCTGGGCCTCCTCTGATACCACCGCAGTGGGGAGAAAGAGAAGTGGCTCTTTACTACTAGGTGGGGATGCAAGTCCAGGATCCCCATGTGGTCTCAACTGACACCATAGAAGGGAAACCTCATGGCCACTCTACCAAAACGAAAGTCCCAGCCCCACACGGCCTTCTTCAACACCACGCAGTCAGAGGCGTGACAGTGCCTTCTCGTTCTCTGTGGCACAGTGGTAAAGAATCTGTCTGCCAATGCAGGAGATACAAGAGATGCTGGCTCAATCTCTGGGTTGGGAGGATCCTCTGGAGAAGGGAATGGCAACCCACTCCAGTATTCTTGCCTGGAGAATCCCCAGGACAGAGGACACGGGCAGGCTACAGTCCCTGGGGTCCCAAAGAGTCAGACACAACTGAGCATACACATTACATACTTTGGCAAGAGTAAAAGTCTAGTTTTCCTACAAGACCTTTGCTGCTAGAAGTGAGGGAAGGACCAGGGCCACCATTTTTTCTGTGATGTTTGGCTGGGGTGGTTATTGTTTAAAAATTGTGTTGTGCTAGGCTGCCCCTTTCCTGGTTCTTTGGCTAGAAAGAGTAGGCTTTGTTTGGACTTTTTTGTGTCTTTACTTAATTTTCTTTCCAGGTTACCAGGTTTTTTTAACTTGAAATTATAAAAAGGATTTATCAAAGGATACACGAGGCAAAAAAGGAAACTCAAGGAACTAACTTGTCACCGTGTCATTTCTTGGATCCCAAAGTTCCTAGTTAGAGTCTCAGTCTCTCCACCTTTCAGATCAGTCCTGTTTGTAACACCCAGGTTTTTACTTGTACTTCGCAGGAAGAACAGGAAAAAGAACTTCCATTGCATCATTCACAGAAGTGGAAATCTCACAACTAAGTTTCAAGAAACTACCTCTTCTATGTGTGTTAAGTTGCTTCAGTCATGTACAACTCTTTGCAACCCCATGGACTGTAGTCTACCAGGCTCCTCCCTCCATCGGATTCTCCAGGCAAGAATACTGGAGTGGGCTGCCATTTCCTCCACCAGCGGATCTTCCCAACCCAGAGCTCAAACCCTCGTCTCATGTCTCCTGCATTGGCAGGCAGGCTCTTTACCAACTGTGCCACCTAGGAAGCATATTATCAAACAAGAATATCCATAATTATGTTTAAAGGCTATTAAAATAATCTCTCCTTTTTCAACTACATATCTGCATGAAGCCAGAATTTTCCTCATATAGTTCAGTCAAAACAACTTATCACAAAATTCAATGCAGAAAAAAGCATAAGAATCCAGCTGTCATCTATTAAGCCAAGCATTAGAGATTTGCAAAAAATACAACTCCAGTTTTACACTACTTCTTTGTTTTAAAAAATATAACCATTTTTCATTAAAAAATATAGCATGTTAACATATATGATTTTAGTACTATTATTTTTCATTTAGAAAATAAACATTTTAGCATTTTCCCGGTTTTAACTTCCAACATTGCAAATATCAATAGATAAGCCACATAAATAATTATTGAAGTCCTCAATAATTTTTAAGAATGTAAAAAAGGGTCCTGAAACCAAAAAGTTTGACAGTCTATGAGATAGAGAAAACTAATATTAAAGGAAGCTCTTACTTCCTCTCCAAAGAGTTGTAACTGTGGTTTGTGAGCACTCTGGCCAGTTCCTGGTATCCGTTCAGGTAGCATCCCTGGTCTTGTTGGAACAACAGCAACATATTCTTGACTGACATCCTTAACAGGAGCTCCGTGCAGTATTCTACGTGTGAAAAAAAAATTTTTTTAAGTCATCGATAAAGCAACAGGTATTTACTCTCATTTTATATCTCTATGAAATAAACACAGTGACATTTGATACCTACACTAAATGAGACTTTCCTGGTGGCTCAGTTGGTAAAGAATCCACCTGCCAATGCAGAAGACACAAGAGATGCAAGAGATGCAGATTCGATTCCTGGGTCAGGAAGATCCCCTGGAGAAGGGAATGGCTACTCACTCCAGTATTTTTGCCTGGAGAATTCCATGGACAGCGGAGCCTGGAGGGCTACAGTCCATGAGGTCACAATCAGCTGGACACAACTGAGTGCACATGCCTGCATGCATCTATGTTAAATAGATATTGTGCAGAAGTCAGATAATTCAAAATGGGTAATGACTCAAAAATAATTTATGTTTGCTTCTGAATATATTTTAGTGGTAACCTTTTGGTGGTTTTTATAATATAGTAATAATAAATTCACTCTATGAAAGTCTCATTACAAGAGAGGTTAAAAGTTCTCTACCTTCTGATTCCTAACCTGCTCCCCACTCCAAGCTCATGGGAAATGGTTTCATTTCTTAGCCCAAGGCAAAGCATCAGCCTCAGCAGAACTACCTGCTCACATTAAGGTTTTTCTTTCTTGATTCATATCTTGCCAGGATGAACAGAAAACTGTTATGGCATTAGGTCTTTACTTCTAGGCTACCAACTATATACAGGGCTTCCTTAGCGGCTCAGAATGTCTTCCCTGTAGCTCAAAAGGTAAAGAATCTGCCTGCCAATGCAGGAAATGTGGGCTCGATCCTTGAGTTGGGAAGATCCTCTGGAGAAGTAAATGGCAACCCACTCCAGTAATCTTGCCCAGAGAATCCTATGGACAGAGGAGCCTGGTAGACTACAGTCCATGGGGTCGCAAAAGAGTCAGGCACAACTTAGCAACTTAACAACAACTAGCTATATATATGTAAGAAGAATATACATAGGAGGTTTAAAACTTTTCAACAAAAGCCTGAATTAAACCAGAGATGAGGGAAATCAAAATCTGAAGGCAAAATGTGTCATTAATGACTGACTTACAGATGTCTCGAAATAACATTAATTTTTGTATTGTAACACTGTGCAAAATATATAAAATGAGTATAAAGTGGAACTACACTGACTATAGCCATATTTCAATTTCACTTGCAAGTAGAGCCAATGTTCCCCGAATGTTTTGGTATACCATTACATGAACAGACAATCACTTCAGAGCCACCAAATGTGAAAACAAAGCATACACATACCAAACTGACTGCACTTAACAATATGCTGAAATCCTCGGATTCTATCATATTAAACCAGCTCTTAAAAATCAGGCCCACCCAAAGCTAGGCTGGAGGAGACAGAGCTTTGCCAAAATAGGTTCATGGGGAAAAAAGCTTCCTATCTCACCCAGTTAAATATCTGAATTCAAAGAGAAGGTAAAGCTCAACTCCCAGCACAGTGGCTTACGGCACTCTGTCATTCAACATCCAATCCAATATGCTTTCCCAAACTGCTGAGGATGGAGAGGTGACGACTCTCCTGCAGCCAGTGTCTGAGACGTGTCTTAGGATCTACTAACCAGATACACTCACATACAATCTAGAAGAAGGCTCTCATGTTCCCACTGGCAAGCAGTTGTGGCAACACTGAATTCTTCTGTAGCAGCCTTCTGGTTACATCTTTTATGGGTAGGCTTTTTTGCCAGTGAATGTTTCAAACAGACATGGCGTATCTCCAGAGTCAAAAGCTGTGGCAGGAGAAGCCACACAATCTCTGAGTCTCAGCTAAAGTGGTATGATGCCAAGGTTGGCCTCCAGCTTTCCCACCTTCCTGACTCTACCAGAAGGAGCAGCAGGCATAGAAGCCAGTTAAACGTGCTACATGAGTCATCTCTGGAAAGTCCAGCCTGCCTACAGCCCATTCTTCCAATCTTTCCATTGATTTTTCAAGCATCATATTCCCATTACCAGATTCCTTTATGCTTAAAATAGCTAAAAATGTTCCTGTTTTCTGCAACTGGATCCTCACTGATATATCAGCAAAAACAAAAGAGCAGGATATTGCCTTGTCTAGAATAACGAGCCAAGAGAGTACACATGAAGATCAGGGAGGAGAGGGGTGACTTAAGAAGCTACCTTGAGGCACTGCTATATTTTTATCTGGCCCTAAGCCAAAGCTTTTGACTGTGTGAACCAAAACAACTCTGGAAAATTCTTAAAGATTTGGGAATACCAGACCACCTGACCTGCCTCTTAAGAAATCTGTATGCAGTTAGAACTGGACATGGAACAACAGACTGGTTCCAAATAGGGAAACAAGTATGTCAAGGCTGTATATTGTCACTCTGCTTATTTAACTTATATGCAGAGTACATCATGAGAAACACTGGGCTGAATGAAGCACAAGCTGGAATCAAGATTTCAGGGAGAAATATTAATAACCTCAGATATGCAGATGACACCACCCTTATGGCAGAAAGCAAAGAACTAAAGAGCCTCTTGATGAAAGTGAAAGAGGAGAGTGAAAAAGTTGGCTTAAAGCTCAACATTCAGAAAACTAAGATCATGGCACCTGGTCCCATCAGTTCATGGGAAATAGATGGGAAAACAGTGCAAACAGTGACAGACTTATTTTGGGGGGCTCCAAAATCACTGTAGATGGTGATTGCAGCCATGAAATTAGAAGATGCTTGCTCCTTGGAAGAAAAGTTATGACCAACCAAGACAACATATTAAAAAGCAGAGATATTAGTTTGCCAACAAAGGTCCAACTAGTCAAAGCTATGGTTTTTCCAGTAGTCATGTATGGATGTGAGAGTTGGACTATAAAGAAGGCTGAGCACCAAAGAATTGATGCTTTTGAACTGTGGTGTTGGAAAAGACTCCTAAGAGTCCCTTGGACTGCAAGGAGGTCCAACCAGTCCATCCTAAAGGAAATCAGTCCTGAGTATTCATTGGAAGGACAAATGCTAAAGCTGAAACTCCAATACTTTGGCCACCTGATGTGAAGAACTGACTCATTTGAAAAGACCCTGAATGCTGGGAAAGATTGAAGGCAGGAGGAGAAGCGGATGACAGAGGATGAGATGGTTGGATGGCATCACTGACTCAATGGACATGAGTTTGAGTAAACTCCGGGAGTTGCGATGGACAGGGAGGCCTGGCGTGCTGCAGTCCATGAGGTTACAAAGAGTCGGACACAACTGATCGATCAAACTGAACTGAACTGAAGCCAGAAACAAAGTGATCAGGATCATTTACATATTACTGTCTTTTCATATTCCAAATGTGCATAAAAAAAAAAAAGAACGAAATTCTGATTAGTTGGAAGGAAAGTGAAAGAGGTCACCGGGCATTTTAGAGTGCATGGCTAGCTCTGGTAATTATTAACTTGGGATGTTAGTGGAAAGTCTACCCAAGGTTAGCAATTATTCCTGTCTGACAAAAATGAATCATTTGCTTTGAAACTTTTGTCTGAATTTTCCCTGCTTTCTTCTTAATTTCCAGAGAAAAGAACCAATCTTTTTGAGAGATCCCCCCTTCGGAGATCACCACTATCTCAGTGGTTCAGACTGAAAATCTCTTCATCTCCAGCCTCTCCCTCATCCCAGCGGTAATCACTAGTCCTGACTCTTCTCCCTCCAGTGTCTCTCCATCCTGTTGCATTCTTCTCTCAACTGAGTCCTGTGATAACATCTTTGCTGTCCCTGACTTCCAAACTTTCCCTCCTCTAGCCCTTGCTACAGACTGGTGCCAAAGTTATGTCAGTTACCCTCTTCCAAATACTTTCATGGCTGCACACACACACAAGCTCCTGGGCCTGGCTGTTGGGGTCCTCCACACCTGGGCATCACCTACTTTACCAGTTCTACTTCCCTCCCCAACACCCAGCCCAATCTTTCACTGTGCAAAAGATGCTCTAGATTAGTCTAGGTGTTGCAGGAGAGACGGGAAAACTGAACTACAATAACTACAATACAATGCGGCTATGAAAACACTGAAAAAAAAGACTGAGGTCTCAACTATTCCATGGGGCCTTTACAAATGTCCCTCTGCCCAGCAAAAATTCATCTTTGCCTCCCTAGTTTCTGGTGCATTTGATCTGCAATTTCATTATAGAATATGCTGCATTTTGTTCTGTGTGTTTTTCACAGCAGATTACAGGCCAGTTGGGATAGGGGAAGACTGATTCTTATTCAGTTCCTGTCTCCCATGAATATAGTAGATACTGAATACATACTGTTTAACACTGTGCTTGAAAAATCCCACAGCCAAAGCCAGTCCAGACCCTGTCCTGAGAAACTGAGAATCATGGGTTGGCATGATGTACTCCAAAGATTCTCAAGGTGTATTCGCTAACCAGCATCATTAGCACCACATAGGAACTTGTTAGAAATTAAAATTCTTGAGTCCCATCAAAAGGTCTGGGGAGAAGCCCCGCCTTCTGTGTTTTAACCAACCCTACAGTTAATTCTGATGCACAGTGAAGTCTGAGGAGCACTGATGCACTGCAGTCTTTCCCAACAGTCTGATCACAAGAATATTCTGGGATGCTAGTCAGATTTATAGTTCCCCAGATACTTCCTCTGGAGATTCTAGTTCAGTTGGTTTGGGATAGAGTCCAAGATCACTTAAACACTCCAGGTGGTCCTTATCCTCAGGAGAAGCCTAGAAAGCACTGTTACAGTGAGAAGGGCTAGCCTTTGGAATGAAGTTAAAAACCAGGATTTTAGCTTTAGTTTGACCACTTGATGTGCTGTGTTGGGTAAGTCATCTTTCCTTCTTAAGGCTCCGTTTCCTCATCTGTGAATGGCAACAGTGATGGGATCTTTCAGCATCTAATGCTTAAAAATAATATATGTGACAAGTTTGCACAGAGTTCAGAAAAATACATTAAGTAGTTGATAATACAATCATTTTTGTTATTATGACCGGGAAAATTAAATGAAGCAAACAAGCCCATCTCTCTCAGAGCGA